GAGTGCAGTGGCTGCTCCTGGCCACTGCAGTCTTGACCTGCTGGGCTCCAGAGATCCTTCTGCCTCAGCCTTCCAAGTAGCTGAAAGTACAGGTGCGCTACCATGCCTGGCTCATTTTTTGATTTATTGTAGAGATGAGGTCTCGCCAAGTTGCCCAGTCAGGTCTCAAACTCGCAGGCTCAGGCAATTCACTCACCTCAGCCTCCCAAAGTGCGGGATTACAGGCTGAGCCACCAAGCCCGGCATCACTGGTGATTTTAACAAGAGTCACTTCAATAGAGTGGCAGCAATGAGCAGTGGAAACCCAACAGGAATGGGCTCACAGAAGAATGGAGGTGAGCAAATAGAAAGAGTGAGTGCAGATAACTTTTTCAAGAGTCATTGTTTTGAAGGAAAGAAGAGGAATGGGGTAATAGTTGGAGGGGATAGTTAAAGCATTAAAGGAATATTTATAAAAGCTTGAGATTAAAGATATTAGAGCATATTTGTATGCTCATGGGAATGATCCAACAGATAGAGAAAAGTTAATGTTGCCAGAGAAAGGAAATTAATTACAGGAGCAAAGTTCTTGAGAAAAGGAGAGAGGATAGAACCCAGAGCAAACATATTAGGGTTGGTTTTTCATGGCAGCAAAGGTACTTTATGGATTTTAACAGAAGAGAAGCATAGGGGTATAGACATGAATAGGTTAATAGATTTATAGGTGGGGAGATGAAGAAACTTCATGTCTGATTGCTTTTATTTTCTCTAGCTCAGGAACGGAAAGCAGTGAGCTCATTTTTCTCTCCACATTTATAGTTCTTATAAACCCTGCATAGGTCTTCCACAGGTGGACAGGCCTTACGATCAATGAGAGGTCCTTAGAATAGTTAGAGGAAGCATGAAAGCAAATGTGCTTTAGTATCTGACCCAGTAAAGCTTCCTTTAGTGCAGTGGCTCTCAAAATGTGGTCCCTGGATCAGTGGTATCAGCATTCCCTGGAAATTTCTTAGAAATGCAATACTGGAACCAGACTCGGTGGCTCAGCCTGTGAGTAGATTGCTGAGGTGAGTAGATTGCCTGAGCCCGTGGGTTCGAAATGACCAGCCAGGGCAACTTGGTGAGACCTCATCTCTATAATAAAAATGAAAAAATTAGTTGGACATGGTGGTGCCTGCCGTAGTTCCAGCTACTTGGAAGGCTGAGGTAGAAGGATTCCCTGAGCCCAGCAGGTTGAGGCTGTGTTGGCTGTGAACGTGCCACTGCACTCCAGCCTGGGCAACAGAGTGAAACTCCAACTCAAAAAAAAAAAAAAAAAGAAATACAACCCTTAGTGCCTACTTCAAACTTACTGAATCAGAAACTGTGAGCTGGGTTCGGTGGCTCAGCCTATAATCCCGCGCCTTGGGAGACTGAGGTGAATGGATTGCCCGAGTCCGTGGATTTAAGACCCGCCCGGGCAACTTGGCGAGACCTCATCTCTACAATAAATCAAAAATTAGCTGGGTGTGAAGCGCGCGCCTGTACTTCCAGCTACTTGGAAGGCTGAGGCAGCAGGATCGCCGGCGCCCAGCAGGTCGAGGCTGCGGTGGCCGGGAGCGGCCACTGCACTCCAATCTGGGTGACAGAGTGAGACTCCAACTCAAAAAAAAAAAAGAAACTCTGTGCACAGGATCCAGCAACCTGGTTAAATAAGTACTCCAGGTAATTCTGAAAAGTTAGAGAACTGCCGTGATCGTATAGTGGTTAGTACTCTGCGTTGTGAAAAGTTAGAGAACCAATGTCTTCGAAGAATGCCGCGAGGTTTTTGGGAGGTTGATATAGCAATTTTCTTATATATGAAAATGTCAGAAGCAAGAGCTTTTATAACAAACTCAAGTATATAACCAGAGCTTTAAAAACACTAGCAGCCGGGCTCGGTGGCTCAGCCTGTAATCCCGCGCCTTGGGAGGCTGAGGTGAGTGGATTCCCTGAGCCCGCGGGTTCGAGACCCGCCTGGGCAGCGAGACCTCATCTCTACAATAAATCAAAAAATCAGCCGGGCTAGTAGCGCATGCCTGTAATTCCGGCTACTGGGAAGGCTGAGGCGGAAGGATCGCCGGAGCCCAGCAGGTGGAGGCTGCGGTGGCCGGGAGCGGCCACTGCACTCCAGTCTGGGCGACAGAGTGAGACTCCAACTCAAAAAAAAAAAAAAAACACACTAGAAATTGCTGGGCATAGTGGCTCATACCTGTAATCCCAGCCAGCACTTTGGGAGGCAGAGGCAAGAGGACTGCCTGAGCCCACGGGTTTGAGACCAGCCTGGGCAACATGGTGAGACCTTGTCTCTACAACAAATAATAATAATAATAAATTAGCCAGTCATGGTGGTGCATGCCTGTAGTTCTAGCTACTTGGAAAGCTGAAGCAGAAGGATCACCTGAATGCAGCAGGTCAAGGCTGCGGTGGGTGTGAGCGTACCACTGCACTCCAGTCTGGGTGACAGTGTGAGACTCCGACTCAAAAAACAAGAACACACTAGAAACTAGCTCTGCTTACTTCTTCTCAACCCAAAGGCCAAGCGCAAGTCCACAGCACAAACCTGTGACTGGCACAGAAATTACTCTAAGACATTCAGGCCTCAGATGAAACTGACTTTCTGAATGAGGCTAATTTCAAATTCTTAAGGAATATGCATTTTGAAACAAAAAGAACTTAGTAAGACAGAATTGATGGAGATGTTACAGAAGGATGCTTGATTTAAAGTCAGACAGATTAGGGTTCCAGTGATAGAGTTATGATTTACTAGTGTATAATCTTGAGTTCAGTACATAGAAGCCTGAAAACAGGGCAAGGAGTTGAGTATTAGTATTGTAAAACTGGTTGTGGAGAAGGGGAGTTGTAAAGAGGAATGATGACCAAAGAGGACTGCCTTGATATTGGAGAATATAGAACAGAGAGGCTATTCAAGAGGGCACAGTTCTAATCTAATCTAAAAGTTCCAAGGGGAATGGCACTAAATTGCATATTTAAGGTCAAGAGAAAAAATGAAGTTGGTGATTGGATGTAAGGAATGAAAGAAAAAGCTCAACAATAAGTTGGGTAGAGTGAGGAATGGTGGCACCAATGCCAGAGTCATGGGAACCTCTTATTTGTAAAAGAAGGCATGAGTTCACTTTGGATTTCTTAGTGGAAATGGTCAATGGACATTTGGTAATATGGGACTAGAACTTAAATGAGTGGAAAGAAGATAAAGCTGAAATTACCATATAAGTAAGCTCTGAAGCCATGACATTAAAAAAAAAAACAGTTCTCAAGGGAATATAGAGAAAGAAGAATAGAAGGCCAAAATCCAAGTCTTAAAAACTGCTTTAAGTCTAAGAGATCTGGCTAGCAGTGATGCAAAAGAGCAGACTCAGGGAAAGCAGCAAAAGTGAAGCTGATACATATTTGGGTAGCCAGGCTAACACGATGCAACAGAAGCCAAGCAGAAGTTTCTCTCAGCAAAGGTTTCTATGTGGTAATATCTGGAACAGAATGATTGATGTCAACAACAATGCACAATGTTGTAGAAGCAACAAAATTGAGTTCAGAGTTAGTCTGGGTGGCCTCTGTAGAACCTGAACCTATCACCAGCTGGTCTTAGCAAGATCCACGCAATGATTGATGGCAAAAGCTGGTAGGAAACACTTCTCTGAGAGATGGTGACTTACCTAGCTCATCCCAGAGCTGCCTGCACTTGTCTGTCATGCTTGTTCCTTGCTGCCTCCAGAGTGTGAGTCGTGGGTCAGCCATAAACTGCTCAGTTATAAGTGTCAACATCCTGGCTCCATTGGAATCTCTCATCCGCAGCATTTCTCGAACCTGACACAAAAGAAGAGGCGAGATTGGTGATTTCACATAATAAAAAAGGAGGAGGAAAAACAAGGAGGGGAGGGAGAGGAGGTGAAGATGAAGTATCTGAGCACAACATATCCAAAAGAGCCAGAAAGGTCTCTTGCTCTGTAAGCAAGAAAGCATGATGCTTATATTGAGATACCACTTCATACCCACTAGGATGGCTAGAATCAAAAGGTCAGATAACAAGTCTTGGCCAGGATGTAAATAAATAAAAACCACACTGTTGGTTGGAATGTAAAATGATATATCTTGGAAAATAGTCTGGCAAATCCTTAAATGACTAAACATAGAGGTATCATATGACCCATCAGTTTCACTTCAAGAGAGAAATGAAAATATATGTCCAAACAGAAACTTGTATAAGAATGTGGCAGCGTTATTCATAGTGGTCCAAACGGTGAAAACAACCCAGATGTTCACTAACAGATGAAAACTGTCCTATGTCAGATGAATGGATAAACAAAATGTGGGGTATCAATATCATGGAGCATAAAAAGGAACGAAGTACTGATTCATGCTACAACACAGATGAATCTTGGAAACATTATGCTAAGTGAAAGAAGCCAGTCACAAAAGACTACGTACTGTATGAATAATTCCAATTCATATGAAAATCCAGAGTAAGGAAATCTACAGAGACAGAAAGTAGATTTGTGGGTGCTTAGGGCTGGGAGAAAGGGACATGAAGGACAAGGGAGATAGGAAAGAGTAAGAGATTTCTTTTTGAGGTGATGAAAATGTTCTAAAGTTGTGATGATGCTGCATTTATCTATGAATATGCTAAAAAGCATTGAACTGTATACACTTTAAAGGATAACTTATACAGTTTGTGAGTTATATCTCACTAAAGGTGTTAAGGGGGAAAAAAAAAGGAAAAAAGTTTACGGTGAAAGTCCCCAGTTTCAAAATACTAAATTTCTTCAGAGACACTCTTGACTATAGTCAACTATAGTCTTCAAGGCTTCATTGAGCAGCATTGAGTTAAAAGCAGAGAGAAGATATTTCCTTGTTTAAATGCCCCAGCAATGCTAATTCATTTAGAGTGGAGCAAAACAAATAGGACTATCAGGGTGAGGCAACCCCTCCCACAACATTTCCAGTATTCAGTACAGTTAGGTCAAGTGAGCTAGGTACAATGCATGGTGAGCCCAGTTTACCTTAAGAAAGTCAACAACAAAAGAAAAATACTTTTCATCTTACCTTGGCAAACATTGAGTTTAGTTGCTTTCCAGAGCCATAGTAACCTCCCTGTGAAAGAAAAAGTTTCACTTGTTCTTTCACTTGTTCTTCATCCAAATGCCAGCAGTTCTCATCATCAATGCTGGCCCCAGCTGTGGGGTCAGGGGCACCTGTGAGGAATGGGAACGGTGAAATGAATCCCGAGTTCACATGCAACACATTTAGCTGGAGGGGCATTTTATGAGCATATTCAAATAGAGATGGGTTATTCTGCTTTATTATGGGCTTTGTCAACTGCATGGTCCTAAATCAATGTAAGAGATCTGGTATTAGCCAGTTTCATGTTCATTTAAGTCTCAGTTGTAGCCTCTTCCAAGTTCTACAAATACTATCCTATGAATACCAAAGACTAGAAGGAAGAATACAACATGCAAATAATCCATTTTTTCCCTAAGAGGGTGACTTAATTTTTTTCTTTTTTCTTTTCTATGAAGTTCAAATATGCCTAATGTACACATATTTTAAAATAAAAAATACTTTCTTAGAACATAAAAATTCTGTTTTTAAAGTTCACTATAAAACTTCCCCCTAAAGCATATGTAGAGTTGCATACAGGGTGACATAATTTTACAAATTTATACTCAAAATATCTTTCATATCTGGGCTAACTTTGACACCACCACTTAAAACATAGTTGTGGTTATTCACATATCCTTCTCCCCTAGTAGTCTGGTAACTCCACAGTTAAATCCCTAGTTGAATTCAAAGCTGAATCACCTATAGCACAGTGTTGATAATGTGACAGGCATTCCAGGAATGTTTGTGAAATGAAAACTGAATCTTTTTCTCTTGGTCTCTTATAAACAGAGTTCTGTAACAAGTTTTCTTTTAAATTTTTAACTGACAAATAAAAATTGTGGGGTACAATGTGATGTTTTGATCTATGTATACATTATAGAAAGTTTCAATCAAACCAACTAACATATATCCATTACCTCACTAATTTCTCATTTTTTGTTAAAAATGTTAACAAATTCTATCTTAGTAATTTTGAAGTAGACAATACATTAGTATTAACTGTGGTCACCATGCAGTGTAATAAATCACTAAAACTTATTTTAGAAACCTGCCTCACTTGACAACAGGCCATAAGTCAACAATCTGTAAGTGTAGTCATGTGATAGGCTACAAATTCATGTCATGTTTTAATCAGTTAGTCTATGTTTCTCCTTGTCTCTCCATGTCAGAGCACTGCTTAAATGAAATCTGGGTCTATACAACAAAGCTACTCTTCTGCTAAGCTTTTTTAGTGCATTTTATCCTCCAGGGGAATTAGGAGGGCTAACATATTAATTTATTCCACAAATACAAATTAACACATATGATCTGTCAGTTTATTATATCTACTATATGCTATTTTTCTTCAAATGTTTTATTCCTTTTTTTGGGTGAGGGTCTCACTTTGTCACCTAGACTGGAGCACAGTGGCATGATTACAGCTCACTGCAGTCTCAAACTCCTAGACTCAGGCCATCCTTCCATCTTAGCCTCCCAAGTAGCTTGGGACTACAGGCATATGCCACCATCACTGGCTAATTTTTTAATTTTTTGTAGAGACACAATCTCACTATGTTGTCCAGGCTGTCTTGAATTCCTGGGCTCAAGCCATCCTCTCGCCTTGACCTCCCAAATTGCTGGGATTACAGGCATAAGCCACTGTACCTGGCCTCAAATGTTTTGATACAGTTCTGATTGTATCACTTGAAGTGATACAGTTCTGATTGTATCACTTCTGTGCTCAACAGTTTTCAGTGATATTCTATTCTTACTAAATTATGTCCAAATGCCTTAGCATGGTAGTCAAGGCCCTCTAAGCTCAGGCCCTATCTTTCATTTCTAGTATTGTCTTTCCCTATATTTATGCTATGCTTCATTCAGAAACAGTATTCCCAGATGCCAATTACATTTGCTTATGACTTTACTTGTGTTTTTCCTCATCCTCCCTCTAACCCATTTTTTTGGCCAAAAAAATCAAGAGTTCTCATTGTCAATAATACCTTAGCTCTAGAGTTAGGGCTGCACTGAGAAATGGAAACCATAAAATAAGTGTACAGAAAGGCTAACACTGCTGAGGTTCATACTTGGGTTTACTTGGCAGGAGGGACTTTTTTTTTTTTTTTAAACTCTCTCACTGAATTAGCTATATACCCATTACCACCTGCCAAAAGTATGCCCATCTTATGCTCATATGCTCAGCATATAAAGGCAATAACTTTTCATAGCATGTTATTATTACTTCCTTAAAATGCTTGTCATAGCATTTTATTGTTACATCTCTTGCATTTTGTTTTACATTAGAACTGTTTATTTCTCAGATATCCCCAACTAAGTTGGAATTTTTTAAGGATAGGGATTCATTTTTGTACCTCACAGTACCTGGCTCCTTATAGCACTGAGTTAATATTTATTTATTTAATTTATTTATTTTTTGAGTTGGAATCTCACTCTTGTTGCCCAGGCTGGAGTGCAGTGGTATGCTCATGGCCACCGTAGCCTCAACCTGCTGGACTTGGGCGATCCTTCCACCTTAGCCTTCCAAGTAGCTGGAACTACAGATGAATGCCACCACGCCCGGCTAGTGAGTTAATATTTATAGGAAGAACAAATGTATGTCTCGTAGATCATCTAGATTTGGTAAGCAAATATTATATATTCTTTTATATGCCAAAAGTGGTAAATCAAAACAAATATGACCCTTATCTTTAAATATTTATTAATAACAACCATTTATCGAGTCTTTCCTACATGCCAGAGGCTAAGCACTTTTTATATATATGTCCATTAGAATGTATACTCCTTAAGGGCAGAAACTGTTTTGTTTGCTGATATAGTCAAAACATGTAGAAAAGTACCTGGCACACAGTAACTGCTCAATAAATGTTTATTGACTAAATTCCAAGGAATATTCGTAACTCTATAAGGTGGTTCTATTATTCTAATTTTAAAATAAAGAAACTAAAGTTTAGACAGGGTAAGTAACTTAGATGGAAAGTACATGAGCCAGGATCTATCATGTTAGCTTGAGCCTCCAGCCTCATACTGCTGTGATCCACAAGTTGGTTTCAGGCCAACTGAACTAAGTTGATGGTGTGTCTGAAGTCAGCCAAATCCCATTCTTTTTTGGCCTATCCTACTACAGAGAATATGGGATTCGTCAACATTTTTCCCATAGTGAGGATAGAGTTCTCAGTAGTACAGTGATTCTAAAATGTTAATATACAGAGTAATCACTTGGAGTGTGTGTTAAAAACACAGATTACAGAGTCTCATCTCAAATGATTCTGATTTTCAGCAGCTCCATAGAGATGGAACTGAGGTAAACTAGGTTAAACCAAAGACTGGGTTTTTGAGTATCTCAGAGCTAAGGATTGGGAGGAGGAAAGAACAGCAATGGTGCTCCAGTGGCAGAGGGCAGGGATGGTTTGAATACCAATTCTGACCCTTGGGTGGTTCAGTTAGGATATGACAAAGCAGCAACAGGACAATGTGGAGTGACACCCCTCTAGGGATTTTTTTTTTTTTTTTTGAGTTGGAGTCTCACTCTGTTGCCCAGATCGGAGTGCAGTGGCCGCTTCTAGCCACCGCAGCTTCGATCTGCTGGGCTCCGGCGATCCTTCCGCCTCAGCCTTCCAAGTAGCTGGAACTACAGGCGCGCGCTACCACGCCCAGCTAATTTTTTGATTTATTGTAGAGATGAGGTCTCATCAAGTTGTCCAGGTGGGTCTCGAACCCGCGGGCTCAGGCAATCCAATCACCTCAACCTCCCAAAGTGCTGGGATTACAGGCTGAGCCACCGAACCCGGCCTTTTAGAGTAGATTTTTTTTTTTTTTGAGTTGGAGTCTCACTCTATCGCCCAGATTGGAGTGCAGTGGCCGCTCCCGGCCACCGCAGCCTCGACCTGCTGGGCTCCGGCGATCCTTCCGCCTCAGCCTTCCAAGTAGTTGGAACTACAGGCACGTGCTACCATGGCCGGCTAATTTTTTATTTAGTGTAGAGATGAGGTCTCGCCAAGTTGCCCAGGCAAGTCTCGAACCCGCGGGCTCAGGCAATCCACTCACGTCAGCCTCTCAAAGGCACGAGATTACAGGCTGAGCCACCGAGCCCGGCCCCTCTAGGGATTTGAGGGGGCTATGGAGAGAAGTAGAGAAACCCTGGGGCCACAGCAGCTGTGGAAGACATAAGGTATCATTTATAGGTATCTAGTGTGCTAACTATAGAAAACCGCTGGGATAAGCCTAAGAAAAGGCAGAGTCTTGAGAGTTATTAACAGTGTAATTTCACCCAAAACTTCAAAAGGATTTATTTAATAGGAGAGAAAGGAAGGTAAATTGTGCAAATGTTTGCTGAACCACAAGGGACCCAGGAGATGGGAAATTGAGCAGCCAAAATGGGTAGTTGCAACACCAAAGGGAGTTAATCTATCCAACTAACAAACTATAAGGAGTTGATGTGACTTTGAGGCCATCAAAGTCATCTGTGAAGAGCATGAATTGGCAAGAGGCTCCAAGGAGAATTTTCTAAGACATTTTCATTTACTAAATTAGTATTTACTGAGTGCCTGATATATAAAACAAACCTGTGCTAAATGCTGAATATATAGTGTAAAAGCAGATACAGTCCCTGTCCTCACATAGTTTACAGTCAAGGAGAGAGATGTTAAGCAAAGAATCACACATATACATTTTTATGTGGAATGAAAGAAGGGCCAAAGGTTTCCCTGAGAAAGTGACATTTAAGCGGATACCTGAAGAATAAATAGGAGTTAGCCTGGCAGAGAGTGGGAAAAATCTGTTTATTCTTTGTTCAAAAAAAAGTATGAAGTGATAAATTACCTTGGTAATTAAATGCAACTATAATAAGGGAGGGACAAAGAGGAGATAGGAGGGAGGATATTCCTTCAAGGAGAAGGAATATCATCTGAAAATGTAGGCAAAAGCCAGATCATGCAGGGTTTTGTAGGCCATAGAAATTTGGACTTAATCCTAACAGCAATGGGAGGTCATTGAAGGATTTTAAACTAGAAGTGATATGATAATGTCTGCAGTAATAGAAAGGTCATTTTGGATGATTGTGTTAAGAATGGAACAGAGAGGAACCATAGTGGATATG